TACATTACATCACATTATATTACATTACATTACATTACATTACAGTACAGTACAGTACAGTACAGTACAGTACAGTACATTACATTACAGTACATTACATTACATTACATTACATTACATTACATTACATTACATTACATCGCATTACTTTACATGCTTACATAAAAAATCTACACATACACGCATACATACCCGTATAAACATGCATGTGTATATAGTGCATTTAGAGAGAGAGAGAGAGAGAGAGGCGGTAGATGATAACCTTAATTTTTAAGGCGTTCAACTTGAAAAGAGCTCTATAGCAGTTCGGATTCGAATAAGGCTTTATGAATGTATTGCAACGGTTTCGGATTTGCGGCTTGAGCTTGGGACTTGTAAGGCTCTTTGCAGAGGTTGCTCAGGGTTTAGGGTTTAGAGCGCTCGGGTTTTCTGTTTAGGGTTTAGGGTTGGGGTTTCCGGTTTTGGGCTAGGGTTTGGGGCTTGGGGTAGCGTTTTTTGGGGTTGAAGTTTGGTGCTAGCAGACAGAGGCGATGTGGAGACGGGTGAACCCGATGGTTCGTCGCGCACTGTTGTCTAACTGCTGCGGACGGCTGGCCGAACATACATTGTTTGTAATATTGCATCTGTTTGGTGAAAGTGTAGTCTGCAACTTTTTTTTGTGACGTGCGCAACCCTAAACCCTAAAACCTGAAGGCCCCAAGCCTACCAGGGTCTCCACGACGACGACCGCACTCAGCGACGGGAGCACCGTCTTTGCGCGAACCTCGGAGTCGAGACACAGGTCCTCCACAGCAGGGGTTTAGGTTTTTAGGATTTAGATTTTTGGGCTCAGGGTTTAAACCCTGAACCCTAAACCCTTATAAGGGTTTACTAGGATGCTTGAAGTTTAGGGTTTGGGGTCTGGTTGTTAGGGTTCAGGCTTTTCGGGTTTATAGGGCCAGTTTCGGGTTTAGTGAAGTGCTTTACGGTTGAGGGCTAGCACTAGGTTTGGAAACGGGTTTGGGATTTGGGGGGTTTGGCATGTCGGGGTTTCGGGTTTAGCTTTTAGGGTTTAGGGTCTAGGGTCTAAGGTTTAACCAGGGTTGAGGGTTCCGTCTGGGGCTTTCCAGGTTGAAGGAAACAGCCAAGTTAACCCCCGCTTAAGATGGCGGGTTCAATGCTCAGAGGAAAGTTTTGGGGTCTATCTCAGTAGTAGTTTCATAATTTATAACATCGGGACTCAAACTTTTTTTGATTATTCAAATTTATAGGGAGGGGGCTTCAAACCTCGAACACGAAAGCATAAGTATGTTGAGTGCTTGGCCTTTTGTAGGTTTCTCTTCGGTTAGAATCCTACTCTCCTATGCCGGAAAGCCTAAGCTGCTGGGTGTAGGGTGGCGTTCAGAGCTCAGTGTGCGAGATCACAACAGGTTGACGGTTGGCGTGTAAGGTTTCCAGATTTCGTGCTAACGGCTCAGGTGTACCAGTGCTCCGGATTATAAGGGCTATGCCCATAGTTGCAGCCGCAGCTGCCTCGTCATGGAGAACCAGAAGTCACCCAAGCAAGACATGTTGCAAGGGATGTCGCTGACTTAGGCGCTCAGGGGACTTAGTAAGTAGGGTTATAATTGGGGTCATACTGCTGATGATATATATATATATATATGCTGCATTACCTTAAGGACACGAAGCTATGGGAATTATGGTACATTCTTAGTATGGGTAATGCAGGTTGTACATCATCAACCGTAGCAAGTAGGGTTATAGTTGGGGTCATAAGTCCCCTAAGTCGGGTTATCCTAATCGTAACCTTACTTCTAGCCTGGCGCTAGAAGGCTCAGATAGGCATATAGGTTGCAAGGAACAGTAGCTCACCATATACTTTTCGGTCTCTGTGTCGTCTATGCACTTTATTAATGAACTTTCGAAGCTTGGCCGCCTTCGGATGATTGAGAGTATTATGATCCCCGAATCTAAAGGCAGCCTTCATGTATAGGCTGAGGCCCTGAACCCCAAACCCGAACTTCGTAATCGTGCAAGTGTTCATCAAAGGCGGACACCCCGCACGCCTCCGATGGCACCGCGTGCAGCCGCGGACTTGGTGTGCAGTGGAAGGGGGGCCAAAGCCAAAGGCTTCCAGCAAAATTAGACCAGAGCTCCTTCAAGGGGTTCCTTTGGGGGGGGGGGGGGGGGNNGTAAATAGGGTTCGCTAAGGGCTATAGTATGAGTCAAGATGGATTTAGGGCTAGTTATCAGGGTTTGGTAGAGGCGCCTGAATAAATAGAATATGTCTTCGCTGTATATTGTCATGCCATTGTTCAGGGTTTTTGAGGAGAGGACCAACTATTCAGAACCCCTTGCTGGATTGTGTTTCTGGCAATGCGTTGGGTTACCCCTAAACTTAGGTTTACGGGTAGAGTTTCGGCTCGCTGTAGGGTTTATATGCCTGTTTATGCAGGGGTCTTTCCCCTACGGTCATTAGACAAGCGGACGTGCTAATCAGGGTTCTACTACTACTGTTGGTTGATGTAACATACCTTGTTCTCTTGCACACTACTCCATACACTGTACATTCATAGCTTCAAGTTAACACTGAGAACAGCTTTGGTCTTAAATGGGAGTTTCCGAAAATACGGG